GACCACATACGCGCCTGTTAATTACCCATGGGTCGGGATTTAGAACAGGTAATGAGTGAATGACATAAATCTCATTATCACAACCGTGTCTGTTTGCTTCAAACGAGCGAAACTTCTGATTACATTTCGCGGACTCTGACTGGCCGAGTCCTCTGGCTGAACAAAAGAACAAAAGAACAAAAGAACAGTAATAAGAGTAATGATATTTGATAACGGAAGATGTAGTAGTTGTAGTAGTAATGAGTAACTTTCAAAATACATGAGTCTACCACAGAACTTGAGTTGGTAATGAGTCTACCGCTTATTAAAGAAACATATCTCTTTGGTCTGAGGTCAGGTGTCTATAGCAGACTTAATTCAGTAAATTAATGGTGACAGTAACAGCAATAATGTGCAAAAAGAAAGAAAACACGATGAAAATCCGAGGGAAGAACATAGTGGAATAGTGATTATGTAGATATATTTCAATTAGATCATCTGCCAGCTCTCAGTAATAATGGCCTCATTATAACAAGTGTTTTTCATTCCTAGTCGAAATGCTAATTCACGACGAATTACAAGTGATCCTTAGCCAATGGGTAACAATGGGCAGACATTTTCACCATCAAAAAAGAGGAACATAATATACCCTCACCAGTCTTAATCAACCTTAAATGCCTTTTCTTTAACACAAATCTGTTCTTATTCTACCTAAGCTCCTACTTATTTACCACAGATTATCACAAGAATCCATTAAGTTTCTAAGCCATGGGCAATATAGACATTTTTCTTTATCACGTTCCATCTGTAGACTCATAATAACAGTAATAATGATTATGCAGATAGCAATAAAGATATCAGCATCACAATAAATTATGAAGTTAATCAATCTATTATTATTATGATAATCAAGGTATTTATAATAACGAAAATAGCATTAATAATGAAAATTAATAAATAATGGTTGTTAATTTTGCGTATGTTGTGGCTTCAATCTATTATTCTTATATATATGTTTATGTCTGTTTAATCATTTATTAATATGTATCACATTGTCATTTTTCCTCATCGCGTACAGTAAATATTTACGCACATATACACACATACATCGCTGTAAACTAACAAACACAGCCATGTAACAAGCATACGTGGCCTTTGACCCCATCACCTGCAGAGTTGTCAACCAGCCTGCAAATCCTTAGCAATAAACAATTCAGCCGAAGAACGGTATTTCACGATCCAATCACCAGACCAGGCAATAGTGCTTAATTGATTGGACGTCGGAAAAATATGTAATACTGATAATGATAACATAAGCCTACTTGCTTTCTTTCATGTCTTCCGCTTTGTACGTCTTTAATATACCTACAGTAACTTTTAATCATCTATCATATGATTTACCCACAAATCCTTTTAATTGTTTTATATATTACTTCTTTTTTTTTTGTCCAATTATCTGCCTATGTATGGAGCGCGTGAATAGACACAGATACCCCTCATTCTACATAACTCATCTAATGATCAGTTGATATATTATTATTTATACACAAACGGTGGACGTGCGCGTACCTATGTGATGGCTATCGTTGTCAACAGCCTGAAAGCACGCACTTATTCTCTTGATATAACACGCGTACGCAAATTAAGTTTAAGCGTATAAGCATGCATCCGCAATCTGATCTAGTGTTTTGCTTACATTTTCTGCGTGGTAACGACAATCAGATGGGGCGTGAATAGGATATCCCGAATTCAAATGGATAGTACCGCCTTTGGTGATAACCGGACTGTGTACAGCAAATCATTTCCATCATTTTTACTTTTTAAATGTCACAAGTTTAAATAAAAAGGGACACATACCCAAGCCATTATTATGTGCTCATGACTGTTTCTTATTTGGTAAAGCAATTTGTACCACCATAACTACAAAAGGGTGTAAAAAAATATATATTAAACATATAACCAATATTCACTTGCATAATACGAAGCGCTAATTTCCTCTGCGGAATTATACATATAGTGGGCTTATGTATAGCAACTACTGCCATGTTAGATAAAAGAGGAGGAAGCGAGGCACATTATTGTGTCTACCTCTAGCAGAGTCAGAATATGCAGATCATATTGCCAGAAGGCATAACTTTACAATGACATTAAAAAAGTGGGCAGACAAACCTGGGGATGTCATATTTCACTAGCAAAAGCACTGCATCTGATAGCATCTGACCTATTTTTATTAATACCTAAGGATTATCATAGCAAATTTAAACACAGAGAGCACAGACCTGCAGAAAAAGGTATCTCATTCTGCACAGTCTTCCAACAAAACTTACACGGCGATCTCACATTCAAACGCTTTGGCATATATTTTATTATAAAGACATATAAGATATACTTGAAGTGGATTTTTTTAACAAACAAAATTTGCTTTGAGATGATTCTTAATGAACAAATTACTCATACATAGAACAATAACATCAGTGACAAAAGTTACTTAAAAAGGTGAAATATAAAAGAAAATCGAAAG